GACGGAACCCAGACCAGAATCAGACGGCGCATGGAGGTGGGCACGACGTCGGTCCACTTTACCATGACGGTCCGACATCCGGAGCTCGACGGACAGAGAGTGGAGATCCGCAGAAACATCACTCCCCGCGAGTACGAGTCGTACAAGTCGCAGAGAGATCCCACCCGCGTGGCCGTCACAAAGGTCCGGCGCTGCTTTCTCTACAAAGAGCGCTACTTCCAGCTGGACATTTTCCAAAGCCCCAAGCAAGGGCTTGTGCTGTTGGAAGGATACCTGGACTACGACCACTCGGGCAACATTGTTGTTCCAGACTTTTTAGAGTGCGTGGACGTCTCGGACAACGTCAACTACAGCATGTACAGCCTGTGTCTCGACGAGGCCAGGCGCCGCAGCTCGGTAGCCCCAGTGGATACGGAAATGACTTAATAAACTTTACTACACCCAATACAGTTGCCAGAGCTGGGCGTCTTCCGGATGGTCGGGGGGAAAGTGGGGGTAAAAGTCTATCGTAAAGATCCGGTCAAAGCCTTCCTCCAGCTGCGGCTCCTGGAACTTGCTGTAGTAGGAGTGGTAGGCGACCCCCGGGACGTGCTTGGCGTCAAAGCTCTTTCCCGGAATGTCCAGCAGCGCCTTGTAGGCGTGGGCATGTTCTCGGAAAGCGTCGTTGTGCTGCACCACATGGTCTGGCAGCGCAAAGTACAGACAGGCCACTTTGTCTCTGGGACAGAGTCGGACGTAGCTCTCGCGGACCTGTTTGGTGGGATTGGTGTTGTCAATGACCACGTTCTTTCCAGCGGCAACGTGCTCGGCGGCTGCTTTGATACACTTTGGGGCTGTCTTTAGGGTATCTTGGTTGACTCTATGGTGGTCGGGCAGATGGAGGAAGCAAAACGTGGATTTTCCAGAAGCAGGAGGTCCCACGCACACAATTACCTGGTAGCGCTGCAGAGCCTCCTTCAAGTCGGGGTCGATTTTGGAGGCGAGCAGCGATTTCGGATCAAACGGCAGCTTTGGGCAGCTCGAGGCCGCTGGCAGCAAGTGGAACGACAGCGGCTCCTTTTCGTACAGCTCAGAAGCCTCGTCGCCAAAAAGCTGCTCGGGGAGATAGAACGGCACGTCCACATTGAGGGCCCATTTCAGATCCGTGTCTGCGTGATCGCCCATTCTGCCCGAGGCATCTCCGCAGTAAAACTCTAGTTTGGTGGGTGCGGAGCCAGGGCCGGAAAAGAGTCGCTTGTAGAGGATCCACATCCCAACGCGAGGTTTGCGGTAGATGTCGGTCTCGGTCGCAGCCAAAACGATGAATCCCGGGGTCTTTCTGTAGAATGAATGCGACGGTGCGGTACCTCTCTAGGGATTTGCAGTATTTGTGGAGCTCTTTGGCGGTTTTTTCGATCCTTCCCACAAAGCAGTTTCTTCTCTTTTGGTTTTCCTGGATGCCTTTTTGGTTGGAAATGATTGCCAAGGTGAATCCCAGGTCAGCCAGCTTGGTCAGGACAAAGGGCGTCGACTTGTGGAACCTGCCTTGAGCCTTGTAGCGTTCCTACCATACCCAGTCTTCTCCCGATTTTGGCCAGGTGTGGCTTCCCGTAAGACAGGCCAGAGTGCCGTCGAAATCAAAGGCAGCGACCTTGCTGGTGCATTCCGGGCCGTCCTGTGCCGATGCGGATCCGTAGTAAACGCCAACCTTGACCGACTGCTCCATGGTCCAGTTCACCAGAGGAGGAACCAGCGTCGTTTGGCGCGGTGGCTTTTTGGCGTTTCCTTCCTCGGGCTTTCGCTTTATTGTCATTGCGACAACTGCACGGCGGCCTCGACCAGCCATTCTGCTTTCAAGCTGCCGATGGGGAGCCTCCGGCTGACCAGCCATCCATCCCGAACGAGAAAGGACAATGCAGCCGGCTTGGATCTGGACACAACATGACATCGGGTTGGGGCTGGAGGAGCAACACCACCGAGATAGAAACGCTTTGTCTGTGCTGCTCACTCGTCACAGATCGGTGGCCGTCGGGTTGTCTTGCTGGTGCGCATCGACCAAACTGAGGTATTCCGCGCAGTCCAAGTCTGCTAGGTTGTGACTCACAAAGTAGTTGACAATGTCCATGTTCTCGCTATCGCACGCCAGACGGAATCCTTCGTTGTAGAGATCGTTGGTTACGGTGCCGGCAAATTCCGGTTCGGCTACGAGTCGGAGGTAGAGCGGTAGGTATCCATTTTCGCACACGGCTAAAAAGAGTTGCTTGCCGTGTTCTGAGAGATGGCAGCGGGAAAGTGGGATTATGGTAAAGAGCCGCGCATACTCGTCAGACTTGAAGATGCTGAACTGGAACAGGCACAAGCGGCAGATATTGCACACCGCGAGACTGGACAGTCGCTGGTCGAGCAGGATGGCCATCAACACTTGCGGGGCGTGTTCAAACAGCTTCTCGACGATAATCGTGAACTGCAGACTCAGGCTATCAAGGTCTTCGAAATACGCTGAAAACATGGCCAGAGGCGAAGCGATGCATTCATCCAGCACAGCCTCTGTCAACGGCCGGTCGATGTAGTAGTGCAAACCCAACAGGATCGCCAGCGCACTCGACTCGACGCGGTCTCGAATGAGATCCTGCATCTTTTCGAAATGGCGTGGAGCTAGCAACACTGTTTCGGCCAAGGCATCGCCGCGCAGCGAGGCAGGGTAGAACTCCAAGATATGCAGTGCCACGTCCAGATAGCCGCACTTGAGAGCGGTTTTCCAGTGAATCAGCTCGAGCGGCTGCGGATGCTTGCACAGGTCGTAGAAATACGACGGTTTGCCCGTCGTGATGGACACGCTCCGTTGGACCGACACATCTCGTCGGTATCGTGCTTCGTAGCTAATGCTGGCGTTCCAAACGGTTTTGCTTGTCAAAGTGAGTCGGACAAATTCCAAGAGACTGAGGTATTGGCTGATTTCGGAGAGAATCTCAACCGGCATTTGGTCAATCATGCAAAGAACGCTCACTGCCATGCCACAAGGTGCAGTCCTATCACACACCGCAATGCAACCGGCCCAGACTGCACTCGCGCTATCGTCGGCAAGCACTGCCCCCCATTCGACCCATGGCCACTGCCGTCGGTGTACCAAGGGTGCTGTTGCGCTAAAAATAAAATGGGGGCTTCGGGGGCGGGACAAAAAAACGTCACCAGCAGGATTTGAACCTACGCACGCAAAGCGTATCAGATTTCAAGTCTGACTCCTTAACCCCTCGGACATAGTGACACTCAAAATCGGCATCCACCATTGGCTTTGAGTATGCCCAAGCATTTGTCGGCAGTCCAGAATTTGTGCAGTTGACGTGGCTCGAGGACTGGACTGGCAGGAAAACCACGGTTATATTGCAACAATCTTGTTCCAGATGGCCCTGACTACTCCTGAAACGAGGAGCGACTCCTGCTGGACATGCAGCAGCGATACGTGCGAGGAATCCGTGGCATTGAGGACGACCGAGTTGTTGGACAGTCTCGCCATGGCCTGGGAATCGATCCCGTCTCCCTTTTGCGCCAGAATCAGGCCGTATGGCAGACTGCCCAGCGTCTCGCCCGTAGCGTTGCCATAGAAGCGGGAGGGAGTGGTGGAGACGATTCGCTTGGCATACCCGCAGGACGACCCAAACCAGGTGCTTTCGGACACTCTGGTGAACAGGTTGTGGTTGAGAAATAGGTTGGAAAAGTAGGCCGGGCCGTTTCGATCTGGGAGCTGGTTGATGACCTGGGGAAACAGCGGCGTGTTTTTCAGCATTCGAACGACCCCAAACGTGTTGAGGTGGTAGGAGAGGGTGTACGCAACCGCAGCAGCCTCCGGAACCCCCTCCTCGCAGGTGTCCCATTCAGTGTCGACCGGGTCTGCCAAAACCAGGCCAACGACCCTGTTGGGCAGCAGCCGCTCTGCAACTCTGGCATTGTAGCCGGCCATGCTGTGTCCCACAATGAGCAGGTCGTCGGTGATGTTTGCTGCCGCCAGCAGGCTCGTGAGCTCTCTTACGATTTGCTCGGTGGTGCGAGGATAGGATGGAATCTCGCTCCAGCCCAGTCCGCCGTGGTCGTACGAGCACGCCCGTCCGTACTCTGATACGTTTCGTTGGATCCAGGACCAATCGAGATGGCTCCCGCCCAGGCCGTGTTCAAACCAAATCAGGGGGTCGGTTGGTTTTTGCTTGGTTCCGGCGCAGTACAGATGCAGCTTGTAGCCGAGATCGTTGAGCATGATTTCCTGGCCGTCAAAGTAACCAAACTGGGCCGCCTCGGCCGCCAAACCAATGCTTTGAAAAGTTGCCATGCCAAACACCACGAGCAGAAGCGCCGACAGCAGCCAGAGGCCGCCAGAACGTATCTTGGACAACACCCCGCTGTCTCTAACGCGCTCGCTCGGCTTGACCGATGAGAGATAGCCAAACGCGAGTGCTTCAAACGTGGCAAACCCGGCAAACAGGGCCGCAATCTTGTCGTTTGCTCGTGCAGCCAGCAGAGAGACAGTCGATATGGTGCCACACAGTGCAGCAAGACACGCAAACCAGACCGACGGGACAAGGTAGTCGCGGACCAGCTCCGGCTCCAGTCTTGCTCGTGTCCACTTGACATAGATTCCAGGCACCCACACAGCGGCAAGCAGACCCCAATAGGCTGCCGAGAAGAGGCGAATTGCGTTTGTGGCCAGAACGACAATAAACACTGTGGCACAGCCGGCTCCAACCACTGACGAGGCAACAAACAAGGTCTTGAAGAGCCGCAAGTACCGGCGGTCTGGCACTGTTTCTGTCTCGGTCTTGTGCATTCTTTTCAGAAAAGGGTTGCCCCAAAGGCTCCGAATTGGGATCCGGCCGCAACTTGGCGCCGGCTTCGGGGTTGAACCCCGACCCGAATTTACTAGAATAATTTAGTAGACTGAGTCTCTTCGGGCACAATGTCAAACGCATGCTTGCTCCCTGGAGCATCAAGATGACCCAGCGAGGCTGCGGAATAGGCTTTCTCCGACCGGTCCATGATCTTTTCCAGATCCTGCTCGCTCAGAATGTCAAGTGGGCCGGGAATCTCAGTGTCCGAGCCCAGGTTCGCAGCCGTCTCAATGGCAAGCACTTCCTCGGACAGAATCTCTTGCAGATTGAGGCCGTCGTACTCGGGCTCCTTTCGGGAATAGTAGCCCTTGCTGCCCTTGAACTTGCCTACAAGCTCGTGTTACGGCATCGGCTGACCTACTTTTGTGGATGACGACCTTTTCAAGCGTCCGCTTTGCTTTGGCCCGCTCCAGAATCTTTTTTTCGATCGAGTCAGATGTCAGGAATCGATAGACAATCACCGGTTTCTTTTGCCCGATGCGATGCACTCGGTCCTGTGCTTGAAGATCCACCTGGGGATTCCTGCGCGTCAGACAGCCCAAAGTACCAGTCCGAGTCGAAAATAATGACCGTGTCGGCTGCCGTCAGGTTGATTCCGAGTCCTCCGGCGCGAGTCGAGAGCATAAAGACCTTGACTTCTGGATCGCGGTTAAAGTCCAGAATCTGTTCATGGCGTTCCGACAGCTTGACGTCCCCGTCGATGCGACAGAACCTCAGCTTTTTTTCAAAATGCAGCCAGTCTTCGATGATGTTGAGCATGCCGGTCATTTGGGAGAAAATCAGCACCTTGTGGTCCTTCTTGAGCAAGGCCGTCAGGAGCCTGTCGAGGAGCAGCATCTTGCCCGACCACGCAACCACCTCGGGTATGCCCTGGACCAGCGGTCGCTCGGTCTCGGTTTCAATGTGGAACAGGTACGGGTGGTTGCAGACCTTCCGCAGCTGGACAATCATCATTTTCAGGTTTTGGCTGCCCACCACTCGCTTGATGAACCCGGAAACGGCCTTTTGAGCACTGTCTGCGACGACTTCGGCCACCTGCTCTTCAAACTCGTCGTCGGTGTCAGCCTCTGCATATCGCGCCGTCCTTCTTCGGACTGACTTGTCGAGTTCTATTTCGGACGGCACAGTGCCTCCGTCGTGCGGCAGCGAGTAGATGCTGGACATGTTTCGTTCCAAAATCGACTTCAGGTCCTTTTTCAGCACCGCTTCGTACAGCTCCCGCTGTTTCGGCACCATTGGTGCATACAGCAGATACTCTCGTTTCTTTGGCAGGTCCTTCATGACTTCAGTCTTGACTCTTCGCAGGAGAAACGGATCCAGGATCGCATGCAGCGATGTCACCATCGAGGAAGTTGCGCTCTTGTCGCTCGAGTCCAGACTCCCTTCGATGTCGTTTTCAAACTCGAACCACTCCTCAAACGCCTCCAGGTCGTTAAAGATTTGCGGCATCAGAAAATTCAGCAGCGACCACAGCTCGGACAGGTTGTTTTGCAGCGGAGTGCCGGTCAGCAGCAGCCGGTTGGCAGACGTGTAGGCTTTGAGATCGTTGATGAGCTTGCAGTCCATGTTTTTGATGCGGTGTCTTTGGTCAGCACAGCAGCCACCCACCCCTCGTCAACCACAATGTACTTCCACGGAATGGGGGCAAGAAAGCGCCGGTCGTTCATGCTAATCTCGTAGCTCGTCACCACCACCGGGAAGTCTGCACTAGACGGCTTGGCCTTCATCTGCCGTGCACGCAGTGCCTTTCGTGTGGCGGGACTGCCGTGATACAGCAAAATGGGAATCGATGGCGCAAACCGCTGAAACTCCCTCTCCCAGTTCGAGATGGTCGAGAGCGGGGCAACTATCAGGAACGGGCCATGGGTCCCAACCGACCGCAGATGCCCCAGAAAGGCAATCGTCTGCAGTGTTTTTCCCAGCCCCTAGAGTCAGGCCGGTTCACCAACCATCTCGTCCGCCAGGATTCCATTCAAGCCGTTTTCGTACAGAGAGATGAGCCACTCCAGCCCAACAATCTGATAGTCCCGCAGAATGCAGCCGGTGATGTTGTCAGGCTGGCTCGGGTGTTTGACGACGGTCTACGTCAGTACGGACATCGCACCTGGTCCTCGGTCTTTCTCTTCTTTGGTTTGTGAGGCAAGTCATCCAACGGTTTGTTTAGTTTTCCCGCCAAAAACGAGGAATAAAGCGACGCACTGAAATGAGCGACAAAACCAAACCGATGCACCAACGACTGAAGCTTTTCCAACTTGGCGCTTTTTGCTCTTTGATTCACGTGTTGCATCGAGTTTTCTTTCATCTTTTGGGTGAGATCGCAATTCTGCTCTTTCCCAAACAAATGTCAACCAGTCTATCTACCGGAATCCCGGCGTAAGCTCCCTGTCTTGATGTCAGGATCGATGATTTTATGGATCGACTGGAGTGTGGCCAGATAACAGAGTGGAGCGGTCCCATAGCCAGTGGGAAGACCCAACTGGCACTGGCAACTTGTCTCTATACCGCCGTTTCAAGAACCAGTGGACTGGTGTATTTCTTTGATTCGGGGGCTGCTTTCTCGGCAAGACGACTGCAGGAGCTGTGGCGAGGCGAGCACTATGCCCACGCTCGATCAGAGATGGTTTGGTCTGTGCTTTGACTCGCTTAGTCGCTGCCCTCGGTGCTCTCTCGCATAGTTGTCGTGGGCTGCTACACCGTCCAGGACTTGCACCGCAGCCTCAAGTCGATTGCCAGGAACACGTCGCTGATTATAATCGACTCGGTGTCCGACATTTTGTCTCCGCTTGTCGGCACGAGTGCCAAATCAGGCAGGGACCAGCGAACTCACGGCTAGGAAGCCAGTCCATCGCCGCGACCGCGCAGTTTTTAAAGTCTGTCGCAAAGTCACGGAATATACCCATCGTTGTACGTCGTGTGCTTGGCTGAATTGCATAGGCCATCAACGCCTGCGTTGGCGCCAGAACGCTCTCCAACGACTTTGTCATGACGCCGGGGAGTCTGGCAACCAACACAAAGCCCGCGCTTGGCTACCACTGGGCAACGTGTCTTTCCAAGCGAATTTACTTTACGGCGTCTCTCGAGCGGCAATCGCTGCAGGTTGCGCTGCTGTCTGGCGCACCTCACGAAACCGACGATGTGCTGACGTGGGAAACGCCAGAAGGCCATGTGTTTTTAGTCATCGACTGGTACAGACCGGTGCTGGCTGACCATAGCAACCTGGAACGTGTCCGACAGGGCAGACTCCGGACATGCACGCTGTACATTGGGAAGCACCTGGTGCACGCGCTCGGCACTCACGATCAATTGGAATGAGTATTTTACATATGCCGCTAGAAATCAAAGTCATTGCGGAACGCATTCAAATCTCTAGCATCGCACGCCGCCGTCA